CACGCCGCTGGCACTAGAGGCACAGCATGGCCGCCTAGTAACGGCCCCGACCACTGCCGCTCGACCTGACCGGAAAAAACCGTAGCAGGAAGCTAGCGAAGTCGTAGTATATATCGTCACAAACGGAACTGCCCGGTAAAACCGTAGGCAGAGAGAGAGAAGAGGACAACAAACGAGGGGCTGTGACAAACTGTTTCGTCGGAGTTTCACCGACTCAGCAGGAGGCTGAACCCTAAACAGTCTGCAGAATCCCCTCACTGATTACACTGTAAATGATAATCTACCTTAACCAAAATCTATCTATCTATCTATCTATTTATATATATATATATATACACACACATATGGAAGTAGCAGAGACCACGATACACACCATGTTGGCATCACTGAGGGAGGAGCAGATTCATCGAAGATTCAGATCTAGTCTTCATCAAAATGCCAGCTGCCGCATTGCATTCGAGCACACGTTTCATTCCGTGTTCGTCTTTTGTACAGATGAAGTTGGAGAATAGTTGTCTTCCTATCTGCTTGTGCGAATGCGCCGAATAGTAAACCATACAAATAATCAGCTCTGTCTTCTTTTGGCTGAGCATCCACTCTCCAAGTTTGAATTGTGCACTTTAGGATGAATGCACGGATGAATGCCAGATGTGTGGATGATCCAATGGCTAGGTGGATGGACTGGTGGAGAAAGGAAGAATAATGGACAGTCTATAGACGGTGGTGATGAAGAGATGGAGTAAGTAGGGAAAAAAGAGTTGTTGCTTCAGCTCAGTGTCCATTGGCTAGGTCGCTGGACCGATAGAGCAATGGACAGTCGATAGACAGTGATGAAGAGATGGATGCAAGTAGGGGGGAAAAAAGGAGCTATTGCTTCTGCTCAGTGCTTCAACAAGCTGGATGAATGATGAATGGATGAATGGATAAATAAATGAAGCCAAGGAGTAGATGGATAAATGGGTGACAAAGGGATGGAGGGAGGGAGGGGGGAGGGGGGAGGGAGGGTAGGTAAAGGAGGGACGGAAGGGAAGGGGGCAGGCGACATTGCTGACTTCGATAATGTTTTGGAGGTGTACTGTGTCGGCAGTTTTGTAACGTTAAAAATACGCATCGTAGAAAAGATAGTAGTGTGAGTGCGTGATAAGTTTCCTGGAGAAATAGCGTGAACGAGAAAAAGAGAGGACAGGCGTTGCATGGGCTGCTGCTGCAATCACTGTGCATTTGCCATGCTATGATGAGGTGGATAGGTAGACTCTTGCGAAGTAGAGATAGAGAATAAGCAAAACTTTTTTGCCAGAGCGTGTTGCAGATGGGAGAACATGCAGTGGTGATTTCCTTGTTGGTCTATTATTTGACCAATCAACTTGTCGGGTTGATTCGGATGGAGTTCAAGGTTGTGATGATGAGAAGAATGACTTTTTCCCCTGCCCTCCAAGGAATCTTTTTTTTTTTTTTTTTTCCGGTTTCAGAGAGCTTGTTCACACTTGTCAACACCGTGGAGGCTGCAACAACAAATGATGGATTGGGTAAAGTACTGAGTTTTTGCGAAGAATCAGTTAAGCAAGGGAGATGACTTTAGAACACGCATCGACTTGCTAGAGATTGATGGGTTCTGCCAGTGCCCAATTCAAAATGTATAGTGGTCTTGTGAAGAGGGTAGTGGCTGTTGAGCATGCGCTGGCTGTGGGTTGCAGTTTTCTCCGTCACTCATGGTTGCATCGAAACTCTTTCAGTATTGGCAAGCTGAGGATCGTAACAACGTAAATAATTATTGGACTGAATTGATGAATCTTGTTGTCCTTGCTTGTTCGCTTGCTTGGTTGCACTAAGGAGAGCACTCTGCCCCTCTTCTGCAGTGTAGGCATGTAGCTTGCAACCCTCACTTGGCTTGGAGGTAAATTGGCCCGCCCGTGCTGCCTCCAAGGCAGATGTGGTAAGTTTTCCCATCACTGAGGAGTTGCTAGACTTGGTATGAGTGGGCCTTGTATGGCCAGCATGCATCCGGTTTTCGTCTTCTTTCATATGTATTCAACGCCGGATGCTCGTTTTTTGTTCTTTTCTTTGCGGGGAAGCATCGTTCATGCCGTTTACGGTCGGTCGTTGGTAGTTGGCAAATGCAGCCGCCGAGGTGCCGGCGGTGGATGTGAATGAGTGAGCACTCTAGTAGTTCTTTTAGTTTTTTTTCAAATACTTTGTGCATGTAATGTTTCCATTCTTGGTGGGTGAGAGGTGAAGGTGGCGGGTCAATGCGGGAACAGTTTTTTGACACATTGTTAGCTCACGGTATGTACAAAGTGTGTAGGCAAACCATTCATCGTTGGAAATGCGCCGTACACAGTCCTAATGTCGGGAAGAGTGTACAGCTGAAGCCATTTTGACCATGACCTGCCGAATGCTTCTTGTCCTTCTGGAATTCCTTTTCCGAGTGATTGCCTACACGTTTCTCTAATGCATAGCGGAGGTTTGATGGGGACACGGGAAGGTATTATGATACTATTATCATTTTTTTTATTATTTTTTTTTTTTAATATACAGACCAACATTTTTGTTCGTTTATTATAACAGCTGGAAAACGAGGTCCAGAGTCCGCTAGAATTATTAAAACTGACACACACCTCTCCTCGTTATGGCCGGGAGATCATTAAAAAAAAAAAAAAAAACCAGTTCTCCATTGGATTGCGCGTGTGAACTTACCTGGAGACAAGCTGACCGGGCTTGAGTGAGCACGTTTTGAGTACCTATTATCTGGCGCCTTGACTTTGTTACGCCGACAACCGTTTGGTGTCTGCATGAGCATCTACTGGGAGCAGCCGTCGCGAAGGAGCTGACGTCATGTCGTCACAGGATCCACACGACCGGAGTGACCGGGAGCACGAGAGAGTTGACAGAGACCGTGAGAGAAGGGACATGGAACCTTCTCATGATGGCGGGGAATGGAGGGCGTATCGATCCCCCACATGTTTTGCCTGTCAAGAGAGAGGGCACTACGCCAACCAGTGTCCTAACCGGAGTAGGCGCTACTCGAGTGCGAGACCATCAACGTCTTTCGATTCCAGGCGATCTCATTCTCCAAGGCGACACGATGTTGATAGACGGGATCCTTCTCCTCAACTGGATCCGGTGATCCGGAATACGATTGCCAAACTCGGCAAGAGCGTGGCGGTCATGGAAGAGCATTATACTGCGGAACGGGAGAAAAAGGAAGTCAAGAAGAAGAAGAAGTTGGAGCGAGAGGAGGCGGAACGTCGAGCGGAGGAGGAGAGGGCCCGGTTGGAGGAGCAACGTACTAAAGCGAAGAACAAGGCGTTGAAGAAGAAACAGGAGAAGCAAAAAGCCGACGAGACGCGGGCTGAAATGCAGAAAGACATGCAGATCCAGCTAGCGATACAGGTCAGTGAGTTGGAGGACCGTTTGGTACAGCGTGTACATCAGATGATCGCGCCGGTGCCGCCGCCTAGCCTCGTCCCTGGGAAGAAGAAAGTTACTTACCTGTCGGAGGAAGTACCATCCAGCCCTAGTGAAGGCAGTGACACAAGTGTCACGCAGGACCTCAGTGCTTGAACACAGCGTTTGGTGATCTCGGAGAAACGAAAACGTGGACCAGAACCGGTCTTCGTGGAAGCCAGCCCACCTATGGAGTTGTCGGCCAAGAGGACACCCAAGCGGGGTACCATTAAACCAGTCAAACTTACCGGTCGTTTGACCAGGTCAAAGACCAAGAAAGCTGGAGGAGGGCTTACTCCTACTTCGGCCAAGAAGAAGATCGCTACGCCTTTGTCCAAACGAAGAACTCCAACACGTAAGCAGACACCGGCTATGACGCCCACCTCGAAGTCCTCTATGGAGCGCTTGCGTTTTCTCGACAATATCCTGCGGGAACTGAAGGACTTGGACGCTACCGAATTGCAGCGTATCTGTCGCGATGAAGGCATCCATTACGACAAGAAGGTCGATGCTATATTTGATATAGCAGATCACCGTACCGAGGTAGCATTCTCCAGCGCTCCGGCAGTTACCGAGGAGGTCATCCACATAGCTGACTCGGAGGATACGGCCGTGGACCAAAAGGAACGACCTGCTGATGACGTGTGAAGAGCGCTCACTATACCACAGTTATGGAAGGTTTGCCGGTTTCTTACTCACTTACGATGTGAGACGTTAGCGGTGGATAAGTCTGTTGATAAGTTGCTTCGTCTTGTTTTTCTGTTGCTAGCTATGCATGGCCAGATTATATGGGCTAAGAAGTGCGTTCCTAACTGGCTTGACTTGTACAATCGCCATGGCTTGGATTTCTTAAATCTCACTAATTGCGTGTACGTAGGAATCTCTCCCTTTTGTAAATCGTTGTATGTTGGTAAGACTATTCGGGACGTCGACGCCCGATGGAGGGAACATATTTACTGCTGCCGTAATCGCATGCAATCGCACTTTCACCGTTGGCTTGCCAATTTCGGAATAGGCAACTACTTGCTTTTGCCTATCGACGTCCTCGTTGGGAGTGATCTGGCGAAGCTTGAAAGCACGTATATCAAGCTTTTGTCACCCTTTCTTAATACTACTGGCTGTACTAAGCGTGACCATATTATCAAGAGGAATAAAGCCGGTAGGAAGGAACGATCAAGACGTGGAGGGGTTACTGGTAGTAATCTTTCTTGGAAGCCTGTCCGCTTCAGGGTAACTTCATCCGCCAATTGGCGTGTTGACTTTTATGATTTCTTCGAGGATATCCTGAAATCGGGTAATGGCAGCGTAGATTTTTGCACGCAAGAGAGTAATCTATGGCAACCTGGTTGGCGAAAGTTGGTAAAAACTTTTGGGGAAACTAAGATCGTCTGTGAATCTGGCACAGCTTGTCTCAAGGAATGCAAGTCGTCTTTGCAATTGGGTGGTTCTTTTTCCATTTTGCATGTTTGTAAATGACCACCTAGGCGCGGGTATTTGAAGAAGATTTTGATTCAAATTCTTCGTGACCCTCGGCAGACTTCTGTGATTAGTAATTGGAGTATGCGGTCATGTTTACGGATCTATCGTGTGATCAAGGATTTCTCGAGAAAATCCACTCGGAAATACCTACGAAGGTTGATCTCTCGGTACTTTCGGAATCGTTTTGGGTTGAGCCTTTGTGCTGATTTGATCTTCTGCATTCGTTTTGATGATCGCATTATTGTTATTGAGGTTCGAAAAATTGTGAATGATGCCTTAATGCAGTTGGATTTACCTGTGTGTTTCTTGCATCGAGCCAGGAGGAAAATTCGGATAGTGGGAACGAAAAATCCCACTGTTGCCGACATCTTGCACAATATGCGTAGTCTGTCGACACGTCCTGTGTTGACCTGCACTTGTACAGGTCTGGACCTTCCGCGCTCATCTGATCACGTCCTGTTCATACTTAGCGAACTCGATGGGATTCATCCCTTGCTGAGTAACGCTAAAAATGTGCCTTGTGCACGTATCCAGGATCGATTACCTTCATTCCGTGAAGAACTGCGTTCTGACTTTGCTAATTGGACCAACTGTAAGGATACCCCACCGTACTTTCGTAATGATATCCTATTAAACTATTTTTCTACTGCTACTGAGAATAGCCGTTGCCTGCAAATGGATACAGTTTTGGAGATTAAGCGGAGATTTGAGGGCTTGGTGTTTACTGCTGTCGATGGTAACCCTGGGGAAACGATTATTATGTGTCCGCTTGTATATTACGAGGCCATGATGAGTACGTTCGTACTCAACCCAGGCTATCGTATTATGAACTACTCTGACAGCATTGTGCTCCGGGAGCTCCAGGAGGATGTCGTTGCTTCTAGTTTGAAGAGTTTCTCCCGCTGGAACGGTAAAGGGAATTTTGGTTCGGCTTACATTTTGCCGAAGCACAAGGATTTGTGTCGGTTTCAACCGATTTGCCCGTCATTTCAGGAACCTTTAATATGTACTGGAAGGACTGTGTCCAAAGCGCTCAATCATCTGTTGAATACGATACCTAAACATTGGCATTTCAATCTGCCGGCGGTATCCTTATTGACCACACGGTTGGATGCTGCTAACCGAAGACTGCTCCGTTTGGGAACTGATCGAACTATCTCCTCGTATTCTTTCGATATCAAGGATATGTTCAGCAAGCTTCCGCATGCTGACATCTGCCGCGCTATTGACTGGCTCATCGACCATCATGTCGGGAAGGGCCGTGATTTCGTATGTGTTAATACAAAGGGGAAGGGAGCGAGCTTCAGTTTGACGACGGGCGGGGACCATTGGAGGAAACTCTCCCTCAATGATATTCGTTCTTTTGTGAATCTCGAGCTGAATCACTCTTATTTTCATGCCACGGGTGTCCTGTTGAAACAGGAATTAGTAGGCATTCCTATGGGGAAGAGCACTAGCCCTCCCCTTGCCTGCATTTTGTGCGCCTTTGGTGAATATCGGTTTGCTTGTAGCATTGGGAATTCTATGCGATGTATTTTTGCCTTAAGGCTAATTGATGATGTGCTACTTGTCACCTCTACTCGTGATGGTGATGATCGCGCTATCTTGCTCGCTTTTGCGGAATGTTACCCCAGGAACCTCCTGGTGAAGCGTACCGATGATGGTACTGGCCTACTGGATTTTCTTGGTTGTCAGGTCCGTACTTCGCAGACTTACCCGGATCGTTACCCCAGGGCCCATTTTTGGGTTGCGTACAAGTGTCCCGTAATGATGACTGTCTGTGGACCTCGGATCGTCTGAGGGTGCTAAATGGGCAGTCTTATTTTTCATGGGGCAGCAAAAGGCAAAAAGAGCGCAATCATTGGAGGATATCTCCACCGTATTGACCATAACACTTCTATCAGAAGTGAAATTCCTGCCCGTGTGCAAGCTCTAAGGAGGGAATCGGCCCTGAAGGATTTCCCGGATTTGTTCTTCAAACAGGTTCTCAAGCGGTTCTCTGTCAGACGGGATAACCTTGGAGGCAGACAGTTAATCTGCTGTGCTGAACGGGCACATGACCCAATCATTCGCAGTATATTTCATTTCTCCTTTGCTGGGTCCTGCACTCTAGTATGGGCATGTGCCTTTGTCTAGCTGACAGGTTCCAGCTTGACTGATCAGCTGCTGTTGTTCCTTTTCTATGAATTGGAAGTTGTAGCTCTTTTTGGCATTGCTTGCTTTGCTTTAAGTAGGACGTATCTGCTCTGGTTTTTGTTTTCGTTTTTGTTGTTGATAGTTTTTTTTTTTTTTTTTTAAAGGTAAGCTATATTTTTCTCTCATCTATCTCATTTTTCTTGATAGTACGCATCTATCTCATCCTCTCACTATTCTATATATAGTATGGGGGAACACCAACCAACCCGGAGCCCTCCCCAGCCCACAGGGTAGGTTGGCACCACAGCTGTGGTGCGAGGGCAAGGCTGTACCAGTCCCTCATCACGGTGACGAGGGGTGGGCAGGCATTGCCGATGGGGGAAATCGGCGGTGATAGCGCTGAGCAATGGCCAGTCACTGCACCTCCCCCTACCCCCCCCCAACCCCACATGGCGGTGTCTAATGGTCAATATTGTCGCTGCATAGCAGCCAACAACATCAGCCAAGGTCCTGCCAATGCTGGCTTGGGGGGCCGACGGGTTATCTCTAGCTGGTAGAACACCAAGCTTGCCCAGGCACATCGTGAGGTCAATGGGGATTGAACCCACGACCTCCTGAATGCAACTTATGTGCCTTACCAACTGAGCTAGGCCCGCAGGCCTGTTGATAGTTTTTCAGCTTTGTTCTGCAGCTTGTCTTTCGCAGATTATCTGGACAGGGGACCATGTTTTTGTTTCATTTTCTGCCTACCGTACAGGATGATATCTGATTTCTGCTTCACAATGGGGAGACTGCATTCTATAGGCCTCGAACAGGGGACCTTCGGCGTTAGTTTCGGTGGCCCTCACATATGTGCCACGTTTTTTAGGTAGACAGTTCATTGGAGGCCTTGAGCCTGGAACCTGTACTACCTTGAACTTCTTTGCCCATTGATACCAGATTTCAGTTCCATTGTTTGTTAGGCTGCATGGCCCATGGGACTCAAGTCCCACGTTTTACTCCTCGTAGTTGTTAGTGGGAGAGTACCGACTGGTTTTTGGGCATCGAACCCAAGCTGTGTGACACATTAGTAATTTTTGACTAGAGGGACTGTAGTTCAGGAACCGGTTACCTTCAGTTACTTACTGTACGGCGAGTATATATAGATTGATGAGGATTATTTCGGCCTCTCGGGTCGACCACAGGAAGACTATCATTGCTACTACGTAGTGATGATGGGATTCCTGCGGTGTTTGTTGGATTGACCGGCGGATCATTGGGTTTGATGGTACGACTGGTGGGACTCATTTGGTGGTTGTATTCTCATTAATCTTGCCATTGAGTGGTGTTTTGCTACTTGGTGACTGTGTACATCTTTGTGTGCATTCTTCATCCATATCCATTGTGCTGGGAACTGGCCTATCTTTTTTTTTTTGTGCTGGGAAGCGAGCCCAGCGTCCCATATGAAAACATATGAACAGTTTTGAGATACCGGGGCCATTACCTGGCTTCGGCTGTGAGGATATCCTGTATGATCATGAACAAGCTGGCTGCTGAGTTTAAGACAGATTATGGGAGAAAACTGCGAATCTGGCCGGGAGATCCAGTGACAGCAGCATTGATTCCTACTTCCCTTTGGAAAGGATTTTCTACCACTTCTTGGCCCTAGCCTAATTCCTGAAACATCTATTACTACCAACTACCTTTTTCTACCCTGTCCCCACCCCCGACAGCATTGATTGCTTCCTCTTCTTCGAAGGATTAGGTTAGGAAGGTTAGAGAAGGGCGTCGTGTCGCACGACCCCCTTCTCTAACCGCCCTACCCCTATACTTCCTCTTCCATCTTTGGCCTTAGAATTTCAGCAGCCTAAGGTAGTCATTATAAAGTAATAAGGGTTAATAGCAAAAATATTTCTGTTTCGAAGTTTGGCAGCAAAAATGTTGTCCGTTCGAAGTTTCCTTTGCAAAAATAGAGGTTTTGTTGCAGCTTTATCGCGTTCCCATAGTTTGCCAGCAAAAACACCGCGTTTTGGCCAGTTTCACAGCGAAGGACCCCTAGACCTCTGACCTCGGGGACTCAGCGTTCTGGCCTGAGGCACTCAGCGTTTTTT